TGCAAAGTTGACCTACCTCGTGGTTTTCGAAAAACAATAGGTGGGTTGTGTCCACAGCGCTGGGCCCGTCTGCCGAACCGCTGACAGTATACGCAGTTCTCCACGGGGGATTTTCGTACTGGGGAATGGTGCATGTGATCAGCTGCGAAAACGTCGGTCGATGGGCGTAAAGTTGAACAACTATCATGACCAAGATGGGTTCGGTCGGTTTTGACTTGCTCCAAAAATTCCCGATTCCTGGCCTTTTCCAGCACCTCCTCCAGCGAACGAGGAAGTTTCAATGTATATTTGTCACGGAGGTACTGGTCGCGTAGGCCCATCGCAAATCTCTCACATATCCACTTTTCCAGATCCGCGTATTGAAGATCTGGAAACCCTTTGTGAGCCAAAATTCGGAGGGCTGCGAGGAAGGCATCTGCGTTCTCTGAGGGTAGCTGACGCCGAGCAAAGAATGTGTCACGGTAGAACGCAACGGGGTGGCATTTGAAAAACAAGCTTCGGAGAGTGGCCCAGATCTTTTCCACTGGTGAATTAGCTGGTACGCTCATCGTTAAGAAAATCTGCAATGCTTCTTCGCTTAAAAAGCTGAGGATGATCGAGCCGAGTGACCTTTCTGGCGCTGAAGCGATGTACCCATTGACTTGAAAGTACCAGCTTTCAAAGTCATCACCCGGGCTGAAAACCCGCGGTTGGCGACTGAGGGATTGAATCTGCAAACTCGTCTCTCGGACACAACACTCAATCTTCGGTGGGCTGAAATCACTTTTGCTCATACTTGTAGAACTGCCCGCGACGCCAATTTGTAATATATTCCGGATGGCAGGTTCGAGACACGGACGAGAAGTCCCGGCTACAAACGAACGACACGTGAGAATCAGCGACCGAGTAACTAACACAGTAGCTCGTACGAAACGGCAATCATGCAAAACGACGATGCTTTAATGAGTCGACCACAAGAACGAGCAAGCTGGACCGAGACAGATGTATTCGACAGCGCGGCATGCGAACAGCGTGGTACACGGCAAGCAAGTATATAAACAACGAGTTTACAAGGAACAGGTACTGGGGCTTGGCTTTTGATTCCCTTCATTCATTGTGCATTCGGTCCGCCAAGCCCTGTAAAATAAGCAAAGGAGACATTAGTCATGGCGGTCAATTTAAACAATACATTGCGGTTTCAACTGCATTACAAGAGAACACTTTGATTTGCCCGCGTGGTTCAAAAAGTGTGTTATTTTTCAATCAAAACAAGTATACAAGGTTAATGTACAGGAGTTGGTTGTAATAGGAAAGGAATGTACAATGAAAGATAAGTAAATTTACAGGCGCTACAAGTATATATACAAGAAAGCTTCTTTGATGTTAAAATACATTGACTAGGCTATATGAAGGATGTAGATTTGTGCCGACCGATGATAGGCCTGCACCTAATCGTTTCATGGGTGATTTCCCAAACCTTGATAAGAATACAATCGGGTTTTGGTCTCACTTGGACCTGTTGTATGTAGGTCATCGGTAGTTTTCTCAATAGCTACAGGTTGGTGTGCATAGTTTTCTGAACCGCTGTTGTGATTATATTGAGTCGCCTGTGGTGTAATTTCCGTGAGGACAGCGAGTGGCTACTGTTGTCTAACTATTGTCTTCAGTCGTAGTTCCGAAGGAAGTATGCTACGTAGTACCTGTCATCTGCCCAGTGAGTTCATCGCCATCTGCGGTGATTGTACCCCTAGGTCCAGTGTCCTGGGGCCACTGCCTTAATGGTGTGGCGACACGTGTAACCGTGTAATCGCCTGAAGTATGACGTCACCCACAGAGGTGACTTCATAGAGATAACGCCATTGTTCTAAGTCATGAGCGTGGGTCTCTTATTTGCTAGGGGACGGTAGCACGGGCACGCCACAAAGAAAATGACTATTTTGGTTCACTCGGTGTAGTATTCATTTGAAGTATTATTATCTTGCTGGTCTTCCCTCCATGAAACATCCGGAACTCTGCGTATCCCACTGTCTTCAGTCCGCACGCGGTATACCGACAAAAGCATCCTCTTAACATTATCCGTGGATCGCAATATACCTGGTAGTTCGAAAAGTAATTTCGTTTTTCCCAATATAATAATTGGTTGGATATTTTCACAGCAAACTTCCAATTTGAGCCGCCTTTATTATAATTTGACAGCTGATATAGCAAGGTTTGCTTGTGTAAAAATACGATTTATTTTATGCAGTAGTTTTTGCTTGTGGCACTTTCAAATATGGGACTTGAAAGTAGCACTTTCGGCATCTTTTACTTTTTACCAACGAAAAGGTAAAAATGATGTTCAAAGGTGAGAAAATTGTCGGATGTCTATGCAGACGATGTATTGACAGCACTGCAGTGGGAAAACTGGTTTATACAGCTTCCATCTTCTAGTACATAAATAGTTAATTGTACTAATTAATAATTTAAGTAATTGCAACCATTATTAAACTACTATTCAATACTTGTTGCCAACCGGCACACCACAGCTTGTGAGATCGCTGATAGATTACCGCTTTTAGTTCAACCTTTCACGATCCTTTGAAATGCGTGGGTTACATCTCAAAGCTGGGCATATGGGTTTCTCATGTTCTTACGAAAAGAATTTGTGCCGTCGCGGTGATGTTTGTGATTTAGTTTTCGCATAGCAAAAAATGATCCATTTTTGAAGCGCATCATCCATGAGAACGAGAAATGGATTGTTTACAACAATGTTAAACGCAAGAGATCATGGAGTAAAAGGGATGAACCGGCTCAAACGATTTCGAAAGCTGATATTCATCAAAATGGTGATGCTATCTGTTTGGCAGGATTTCAAAGGAATCGGTCTCTGTTTATCTTTTACCGGACAACACAACGATAAATTCGGAGGTGTACTGTATTCGGATGGACAAAGTGACTGAATCAATTAAACAGAAAAGGCCAGAATTAATCAATAGTAAAGCTGTAGATTGCCTCCAAGATAATGCGAGATCCCATACAAGTTTGGTAACTCGCCAAAACTTTTACAGTTTGGACTGAATACACTGCCACATCAACCATATTCCTCAAATCTGGCACCTTTTGAGTATTATTTGTTCCCGTCACTAAAAACGGTTTCTAGACAGTAAACATTTATTCAAATGAAGGTATCCACAATGACCTGGATCAGATTTTTGACAGCGAAGAACAAACGTATTATGAGCGTGGACGCAACCTGCTGACAGTAAGATGACATGAGGTATTGGACCAGAATGAAAAATATGTATTTCACTAAAATATTCATCCACTATTTAAAAAATTCGTTTTCCATTTTTACCGAAAACATTAAATTACTTTCCGAACAACCAAATAATTAGCATTAACCGGGACTCCCTATAGTGAATCGTGGTTGTATATCTAGTGAAGCGCAGTAAATTAGTCATTCTGGCTTGAGCTCCGATGCTTTCACAAAGGAAATTCCAATGCTTTAAACTATGCTGATGTTTACCCCTTAAGGAGTTTATCCTGGACTCAGGAACATTGGTGCATATAAGTGTCAAGGCGCCATCGTTCCACCTGGTCTTCGGTGCTGTGGAAGGCCCGGTTATTGTGGGCTTGGTGGCGCCTCTGCAGGTTGCAACTGGTTCTGGACCCGTTTTGTGGCTCTACCACATGAGGCTACTGTGGCCGTACTTGGATTAATTATATTGAGCAACCACAGTTGCATAACTGGCTCCGTCTTTAGAGTGCTTTGGATTTCTTTGGTCAATGGGGTGGGTGGGTGTTACCGATGTTATAGTAGTCAATACGTTGGACAAGTGGGTGAAGACGATGGAGTTAGGTATAGTTCGATTGTTTCCGACGACGACTTGGTTTGTGGTTCTCAAGGTTTCTAGTATTGCGTGTCCGTGCGAACGCCTGGCCCGTTTCCTTGGTTTAGAGGTAGCTATTAGGAGAGATGATGAGGTGTGAACTGTGCTTTTGTCGTCTCGATCGAAACAATCTCTTCAGTTAAACAATCGTCAGCCTCGGCGAGTAGATTGTCTTACTTCCGTCGTAATGCTAGAACGTATGTTACAAGCGGAAGCGTCAAACATTTAGGACAAACGCAAAGTGAGCCCGGTGTGCTATTATATTTTCTTATTTCGGTTCAACAGAGTGTGAAGCACTTCGAATGGAAGCAAATAACGCAATTTGCAAAATTCAAGCGTACTTTTCCTACATTAGCACGCCTTCGATTAGTACCATATTCTTCGTTTCGGGTTATCGGTGCTGTGGCCGTAATGGTCGAATTGGCGTTGCCCGTTTTGCGGCTAAGTGTAGCGTCGCCGTCGGCTAGCGTTTGGTCGCCGATCGTCAGGTCAAGGTCATATGTCTAGGTCATGCTGCTTTTTGTGTTTAGCCTGTGAAGCATACTATCGTGGGTAAAGCGCCCGGTGTATGTAAGTATCGTGCTGGGCAAGCAAGTCGAGCGCACCGGCTGAAGTCAGGAGCAGCGAAACTCGACGGTTGCTTCCCTGAAAAGGTTCTACAGTGAAAACGTAGTTTTCGCTGTAACTGGAATGTGCGTTGATGAGATGAGACAAGTGAAAGCTTGATTGAAAGCTGAGAGACTAATCTATCGAAAGAAGTGAAAATTCTGAGTTGGTAATCGCAACTGCGCAAGATTGCACGATTGAATAGGGGCTAAAAATTGCCTAAAGTTTAAAAGCCGGTAGTAACAACCACAACTCTAAAGTATTTCGGAGAAAATGCTTTCAGTAGATGGAGCATGGCAAACCGAGACCAAAAAGTGTAAACCCAGTGAAGTGCGACAAAACGTCATGTAGATAATTCGGAAATATGTATAGCACGTCACCACAGGAAGGTAGGTAAATGCTAAGCATTACGTATCGAGTTCCACTGACACATCGAGGCCATGTTCACGGTAATGAGCCAAGCTTGGACGAAATTGGGCAACGTCCCACTCTATTACCTTCTGTATGCAGCAAATGTTTCGACACTATTGACTAGCCAGGGTATTTTTGAGCCATCAGAATAGCAATAGTCTGTTCATTTAACTTCTATCAAGAATAAACACCGTTAGACGCATTCGGTTAGCGGTCGCATATTCGAGAAAGCATTAGACGGTATCTCTGTATTGTAGGATTTTGAGTATCATCATGGGGTGTTTTTTACTACAGAAAGGCTGCTGATTCGATCCGTCCGGGGATAAAAGGATGTGAACCGTTGCCAGGTCTCGGAAGTGTGGACGAACAATCCAGTCTCTTTCCATGAGGGTAGCGGCCGAATCCAGTTACGGTGAGACCCAGCAAGCGTTAATCGAACACAATTCACTGAGCCCATCAGTTCGAGTCTAGTATACGCTTGTTGTACCTACAAAGCGAAGCGGGGACGGAAACGACCCGCGTGCAATACTGGGAGCCAGTAACTTCATAGGTACATAGTTTAGGAGTTTTATAACTGTTAATGTGGTACAGAAAGAGGGAGATAACAAGCGTACACTGTCGAACACTGTACCGGCTGGGTTATACACAACGCAATGTAGCCTGCAGTGTACCAAGTTTTAGAGCTGGTGTAATACTGAAACAGGTAGGTGACTTTGTAAACGGACGCACACAATGCGATAGGACACTTTCGAAGTGTTCTGTCGTATATTCTTACGAATAGGCGACTCTTCTGGGTCGTAGTTATGGCAGAGGCCAAGGTGGGCCGTTGGACCCGTTCAGTAATGGTAGTAAACGTTACAAGATCTGTTGGGCGGAGCCTGGGATACTAGTCGGTAAGCAATGACACGTAAGACGTGTCAAATACGACAGTAGAGAAGTCGGAGGCGACTGAACCCAACGTATATTGTGCAGGCTACCAGAATAGGAAGCGAATCAGACAGAGCGAGAAACGTGCAGCGAGATACTCACCAAAACGGTTTGTGACAACGGACGTGCAGTCAGTAAAACAAGTGGACGTTTCGAAGGTTAAAACAACCATAAAATCCAATGTTACAAGATACTGAAAGAGCATGTTTTCCGGTGCACTACAAGGGCCTCCCCCTAGAAGGCTGAAGGATGGAAGCCTTCGATAGAGCTGTTAGTGGGGGGAAAATGGAAGGTGAGGGTGGATGCGAATGTTTGCAGGGGCTGGAGAAGGGCTTCCAAATTGGGGTGTGTAGCAGATTTCGCTGGGTCCAGGCTTTTGTTAGTTTTATTTATGACGATCGTGTGGACCAGAGTGCATCATCGGTGGGCCGTCGGGGCGGGCTGGTCGGACTGCAAAAAAACTGGCTAGTCCAGAAAAAAGGCCGACAGGACCTTCCCTTTGCTGCAGACCCGACGGTGCGCTTGGGAGGTGTCACTCCCCCAACGCACTTTAGTCCACGGTCCTCGTCCCACGAAGAAATCCAGGCGTGCTCGTCCCACGAAGGAATGCGGGCGTCCTCGTCCCACGAAGAAATCCGGCGTCCTCGTCGGCAATGCCTAAGCGGCGTTTGGGGACCAATTCGTTCGTGGGTGTCTGCGATCGAGGGCGACTGTCTGTTCCTTGGGTGAGGAAGGGGGCTGTGGGACGGCTGGCGAGTCACTCCAGGGTTGCGTTGAGCCGGTTGGCGAGTCACTCGAGGGTTGCCTGGGCAGTTCCGACGGTTGAGTTTCTGGAAGGTAGAACTCAGAGGGGGTTGGCAAGGGTCGGGAAAGTGGCTTGACGCCGGAGAGGGAACATGGCATGTATGATAAAAGCAAATACGCTTTTTAGGTTTTCAAAATGTTTTGGGTTTTTTGTCGATTTTGCAAAACGTTTGTGGGTGAGACGCAGGATAACCATTAAAGACGAAAAAGGCGTGTTAATGGAAATAGCAAACGCTTACAAAATCGGAAAAACGGACCGGACGTTTGACCTGTCTACCGCGTCGGTCGGTTGCCTGGGGTTGCGGCGGGATTGGTTGCGGGTCAAGGGGTACGGAGGGTTCCGGGTTATCCAGTGTTCGGGAAGTCACCACAGGTGCGGGTGCTTGTGAGAGAGCATCAGGAGGAGCTGCAAGTGGCTCGTCAAAGAAAGCCACTTTGAGTCGGTCGATGGACACCGTTGTTCGGTGACCATTCTGGTCTATAGTAAAATGTTTCGGAGTCCGTTGCAGAACTCTGAAAGGGCCAGTGTAGGGAGGCTGGAGAGGGCGCCGCACTGCGTCGGTGCGGAGGAAGACGTGAGTGCAGGCAGAGAGTCCGCTGTGCATTTGTACATCTCTAGTCTGTTCACGGGGCGCGGTCGGGCGTAGTGAACGCATGCGCTGAGCTAGGGAGGACGCAAAGTTAGGCGGAGGCATACCCGACGATGCGGGAGGTGAAACGCATTCTCCTGGTAACTTGAGCGTCGTGCCGTAAACCAGCTCTGCTGGTGCACATTGCAAGTCAGCTTTGATGCTGCTGCGAATGCCTAAGAGTACGAGCGAAATGTTTTCGCTCCAGCTAGGGTCGGAGGAGGCGCAGAGCGAGGCTTTAAGCTGTCTATGGAAACGTTCGACTAACCCGTTGGCTGCTGGGTGATACGCTGTGGTATGAATGCGGCGACAGCCTAAAAAGTTGCAGAACGTATCGAATTGTAAAGATTCGAACGGCGTTCCTCGGTCAGTTGTGATGGTGGATGGGCATCCGTAGTGCGGGACCCACCGATCTAAGAAGGCCCGGATAACAGTCTCAGCTGTGCAGTCTGTTACGGGAATGGCTTCTGGCCATCTGGTGAAGCGGTCGACACATGTCAGAATGTATACGAATCCGTGCGACGGAGGCAATGGACCTACCAGGTCTAAGTGTACATGCGAGAACCGAGAGTCCGGGGCAGGAAATGAACCAAGAGGACTGCGGGTGTGACGATGTACTTTAGAGCGCTGGCATTGAAGGCAGGCGCGAGCCCAGGTACGAACATCTTTGTTTACGCGTGGCCAAACGAAACGTTCGGTGACCAGTTTCAAAGATGCACGGATACCAGGGTGTGATAGTGAGTGCAGTGCGTCAAAGACTGTGCGTCTGAAGGAGACGGGCACGAGAGGTCTAGGACAACCTGTGGAAGTGTCACAAAGAATGGTTCCTTCCGTGGTTTGGAGAGGAACAGGTTGCACATGCAGCGAAGTGGACTGCAGAGTGCGCTGTATATTTTTGTCTTGAGCCTGAGCCGATGCCATGGCGGCAAGGTCGACAGTAGTCAAAGACTGCAGAGTGAGGTTGACGCATGAGAGAGTGTCGGCGACGGGATTGTCGACACCTGAGACATGACGTATGTCAGCAGTGAACTGCGTGACAAAGTCTAGGTGTCTTGTTTCCCGTGGTGAGTATTTGTCGCTAGCAGAGTTGAAGGCAAAGATAAGAGGCTTGTGGTCAGTGTAGACCGTGAAAGCGCGGCCTTCAAGTGTGTGCCGGAAGTGACGTATCGCTAGGTAAATGGCCAGCAGTTCTCTGCCAAACGTGCTGTAGCGGGATTCCGCTGGCTGCAGGCGCTTGGAGAAGAACCCAAGGGGTTGCCATTGCCCACCAACGTGTTGTTGGAGGACGGCTCCTACCGCGACGTCCGATGCATCAATCGTAATAGAAAGGGACGCAGTCGCTTCGGAATGAGCGAGGAGGGCTATGTTGGAGATAGCATCCTTGAGCTCTGCGAAGGCTGCCTGTGCTGTGTCAGGGAAAGCGAACTTACGTTCATTTCCTCTGAGTAGGTCAGTCAGCGGCTGCATAAGCTGAGCGCAGCGCGGAATGAAGCGTCGATAGTAGTTGACCAAACCACAAAATCGACGGAGGTGCTTGAAGGAAGTCGGAGCTGGGAAGTCCTTGATTGCCTGGATCTTATCAGGAAGGACTTCGATACCAGACGATGAAACAAGGTGACCTAGGAATTCTACCGTTGATTTGCCGAGTTCGCACTTAGTCGGGTTGACTGTGACACCGTGTTGGGTCAAGCGCTGGAAGAGAGCTCGAAGATGCTCGAGGTGCTCTTGTTCCGATGAACTGGCTACTAAGATATCATCGAGGTAGGCATATGCGAAGTCTAGGCCACGAGTAACATCGTGGATGAAGCGCTGGAAGGTTTGTGCGGCGTTGCACAGTCCAAATAAATAAATAAATAAATACTTTATTCTCGACTATGCGAGGCACGCCCATGCAGGCATGATCAGATATGTACAACTGTACAAACATTTTATACAACTGTAACAGTAACAGTAGAAAATTGGTCATATGTCCATGATAAAATAAATAAATAAATAGTTTATTCTCAGTTTCATAGAAACGCACCAACTTAGGAATGATCAAGGTTTAAACACGGTTGTGTATCACGACGATACATCGGATTCAATCGTGTGCAGTTGAAACGGTGTCGGGAGGAGTTGATATGTGAGTCTAGTCGACTTGCCAGTATGTAGTTGTGGGCTGTGACTCTATTCAGTGGCGAGTCACATCCGCCACGTCGCAGTGTTGTTAAACAGACATTTGTGGCTTTTTATAGGGAGGAGGCTTGCCAGGCGAGAACCAACCACGTCCTGCAACACTGCCGTAAAGCATTTGAACATTAATGTTGAACTGGCAAAGCCGCTTGACGACTGGTTTCACCTTCGGTTTTTCGCGGGGTAATGGCTTCTAATTACCTCTGTTAGTTGGACGGGTATTTTGATCAGGGTCGCCATGATTATTGCGTGCCACGTAGTGGCAACCGTAGAACTGCAAGAAATGTGGACAATAAAAAAATAAGTGGCATCAATTTTACGGCATAAAATACGATTATGTCTAGTATATTTCAAAAAGCGGCTAACATCTCTGCACATGATGTTAGTTGCTACTTTAAGTGATGTCTAATGAAAAAGGTCGTATTTAGCTGTTATTTCGGATTGCAACCATGGAGGCTGACTTCAGGGGCACCTTTGTTGGGCATTCGTTTCCTAGCTTTGATGAATTCTATTCGCTTTTTACCTCATTTATGCATCGGAACAACGTCAATTTTGTTTGCGTGAGGTATGATCGCATCGTTTATAAACGCTTGCGCTGTAAGCGCCGGAAAACAAGGAGCAAAGGAATACGGCGAGTCTAGTATGTGGTGTATAATGTTGTTAACGGTCCAGTTTAGTTCCGGAGTCACCGATTGCAGTGCTCGTGTCAATGTTGCTCGGGATGGCCGTAGGCCAAAGGTGCTGACGTTCCAGCTCTCCCACAACCATAGATATGACATCGACCGCACAAATTGCACATGCACTTGCGCAATTTACGGGCACATGTGGCTACCGTGCGTCCATTTAATGATGTTATATAAGGAGAATCAACCTCCGGCGGGTAACAACGATTATGTTCCATTCCCTTTTTAGAAAGCATACCTATCCGTAGTCGATGGTTAGCGAATTACAACATACCTGAGGATTCCATGTTGCTTCGGACTTTGAAGGTAGTCACCTCAAGGCAGCCGAATTCCAACGTAGCAAAACTGCTTGCTCGGCTTAAGTGCCTGGAAGATGTGAACCCTAGTGCAGTATCCGGGTTTTTCGATAGCCTCATTCAACAAACTGTTGAGCTCATAGACGTAGAACCAGGTGCGCCCGTCGTAAGTGATAAGCCACACTGCCATTGCTGCTAGTGCTAAGAGACTTACGTAGGCTAGTGTATCACCAGTGCCTCAGGTCTGTGATGATATGTATAGAGGCTCCGAGACCTCCGCCATTGCTGCTAGTGCTAAGAGACTTATGTAGGCTAGTGTGTCACCAGTGCCTCAGGTCTGTGATGATATGTATAGAGGCTCCGAGACCTCCGCCATTGCTGCTAGTGCTAAGAGACCTATGTAGGCTAGTATATCACCAGTGCATCAGGTCTGTGATGATATGTATAGAGGCTCCGAGACCTACCTTCTTGGTGATAGTGCTACGAGACCTACGTAGGCTACTGTTGCACCAGTGCATCAGGTCTGTGATTATATGTATAGAGCCTCCGAGACCTACGCCATTGCTGCCAGTGCTAAGAGACTTATGTATGTTAGTATATCACCAGTGCATCAGGTCTGTGATGATATGTACAGAGGCTCCGAGACCTAGCTTCTTGGTGATAGTGTTATGAGACCTACTTAGGCTACTGTTGCACCAGTGCAACAGATCTGTGCTGCTATGTATAGAGGCCCCGAGAATTACATTCTTGGTTATAGTGCTAAGGAACCTATTTACCTTGTGAAGCCCTAGTGCTAACAAGCTTCAGAATTTCCGTTTACATCCTGACAACTGGCTCATCACCTCATCCCACATGCCCCACACTAGGCTTGTGATGCCCCGTGACCCATAAACATCTCACATGCCAACATGTTCATTCCTTCATCACATGCTTGAAGTGACTGTGGACTTGCATTGTTACCATTACACTGAACATGTGGGCATAGGTCTGCTTTGCAAAACTAGTGGGGCTGCGGTGTGCACTTCCTCTACTCAGTTTAGTTGTTTTGGCATAATGAGTATATTCTTACTGAGGCTGGTAATAGGTGTCCATTAAATACCCCGTGACGTTACTCTACATGAAGTCAGCTACGCTGCTCACAATAATATAAGGAGCACACGGACGCATCCTCCTTGGATAGATCGTACCGGTAAATACCTGCTCACGAAGCGCTCTAAGTGCTGCCGAATTTACCAGACGGCTTCATCAAACAAAACATACGGAACCTACTAAGCGGTTAGCAATAAATGTAAGCTAAATATCAGCATGGCTCGTCTTTAATTACCGTTGAAATCGTAGGGGATATCTGTATCCTAGCAATTCATTCGATACAAGTGCTTAGTACTGTGTTGCATAAATTAGCATCATTTAATGAAAGTTGTTTACCAAACCTACTTCTCCCACATTGTATATGTATTTCATTAGCAACCACCTCAAGTTCAAGTTTAAGTAAGACGGGAACGATAGGATGAATCCCGTAAGTGTTCCTTCTTGAGCGGGTCGTCGATCCATTTACTTACCTCCCGTACAGCCTCAATTACATTTACATTTACAGATAGCTCGATGTATTCTGCTCACGGCGACGGTTAATTTTCTAGCTAAATGTGCCATTAATCCTTGAGTTCACTGAGTAGTAGAGAGCAGAAGAGAGGCCCGTGAAAGCTTCTTCACTTCGTCGTGAACCGATATCTCTATCCGTGTCTAGACAGCTGGTGTATTACTTTCATTACTTAACGTTTCACTATAACCTGATAACTTCTATAACCCTTTTATGTATCATAATACGACCACAGAGCTTTCCAGAATACGATCAGAACCTTCTCCATGCGAAATGGATCCCACCGGTATGCTTCAATGAATGGACAATCATTTTGACTGTCAATAAGCTACTCACAGCTACCAGATATATATCACCTTATTGCTTCGTTTTCCAAAGAAGGAAGAATGATATTGCGTGAGTTTTACCTACCAGATTGTAACTCATCGTCCTTCACATTTATTGACATCTTTCATTTTTGTGCCAACGGTTACCAATAGTAATAATCCTATCGCTGCATTCAGACACACATTTTCAGGTTAAGCTGACTAGAAAGTACACATCTACACTCAATTCTAATCACCTCCATGCAGCCAAACGGATAGCATCGCCATCTTGAATTCATACCTTTTGCCTTGCCACTAGTGGCCAGCTGATTTTTGAGGTCGGTGGAGGAGAGTAACATCGCGATTTTTCTTCTTGTTGTGTGTCCAGGTGAGCAAAAGGTTCAATTTTTCTGCTGTCCAGATTTTTCAGATGTATAATGTATGGGAGTATGAGGATATGTCCAGTTCTCCATACTGGACAAGGGTTATGGTAATTGTAGGTCGGTCCTTTCGGAGTTCTACCATGCTCCATGTAAGTCCTTGTGGGTTGTTACGTCCGCCTTGGGCCAAAACTGTTCCTCAGTCCAATCCCAGAGCTCCAAGAAGTCCCGGACCTCAGAGAAAAGGGAAAGTGAGGGACAACCGAGAGAAGACCTCAAGCACAGGCATGGAGCTGAATATTGTTAATGTCTTGTGTTATAACATTTGGGCTTGGGACAAAAGCGTGTACACTGTGCAACAATAATTATGCTGAAAATGTCTTTTGAGTATCCTATAGAATCATTAGCCGTATAGGTGGATTGCTATTGCCTGCGTAGTGACAAGAGCGTTGCACCAGTAAGTAAAGTATGAGGATCCGTTTGATATGAGTCGATAATTGCTTGGGAAAAGAGCAAAGAGAGTTAGAATGTTGGCAGTGGCTTTCAGGTGCATTAACAGCACGTAATTAGTGTAATCCGAGAGTGGGGGCATAATAAGCGAAGATAAATGGGTTGCTGCGAGAGAGTCTTAAAGATCAATTGGTGGCAGGGCAGCGGAAGGACTGGATGCAGATATTCCAAAGGAGTAAAGGTTATTGAGTTACGGGGTGGCTACTAACAAGCACTGGATCATCGCATATGCATGGGGCCAATGGCCATTAGCTACTTCTGAAGAGAGATGCCGAATTTACGACGACCGACAGATGGTGGCGCTATGAGTGACTCAGTCGCCAGATGCAGCTATTCCAATCAGGAGCTTTGTCACTAGTGTATGCCTATAGGGTCGCTGAGTGTATCTATAGGCCAGTGAGGGTAAGAGATAGGTCATAAGACCAGCTAAGTTGTGACGCATACAGTCCGTAAGAATGAACGTTGTAAGAAGGGAGCGAGCTCCGGATTTCCGCAAAGTTATATGGAGCTATGGCGACTAGCTGCAGCTAAGCAGAGATAGTGGCTCTAGAAAAGAATGAATCAGTGCTGTTGTAACCATGTCATTAAGACGTTTGACCAATACCGGATACCTACAGTTTCAATGAAGATATCGACATGCGAGCGAAGCTTTAAGAAACAGACGGCAGAAGAGAATGAGGGTTGGAGAGTCAGTGAGTGGCTCCTTGTAATCTACATGGTGCCCACAATGACTAGCTGCTGTCAAGTGGATTTGACGCAAATAGGACAAACGACACATATCGGCTCGCAAAGCGAGAAAAGAGTGACCAGCACTAGAGTTTGGACTAAGCCTTCAGTTACTAGTGGATCCTACGGTGGCACATAATAGGTCAACAAACCATCTGAGCTGTGACGCAAACAATCCATGAGAATGAACATTTTAAGAAAGGAGCAGCTCCTAGCGAGCTCCGGATATCCGCAAAGTTAGTGGAAGCTGTGACGACTAGCTGCTGCTAAGCAGAGATAGTGGCTTTAGAGAAGAATGAATCAGTGGCTGGTGTAGCCATGACATTAAGACGTTTGACCAATACTGGAAACCTACAGCTTCGATGGAGAAATCAACATGCGAGCGAAGCTTAGAGTGACAGACACCAAAAGAAAATGAAGGTTGGAGAGTTAGGGAGTGGCTCCTTGTAATCTACATGGTGCCCACAATGACTAGCTATTGTCAAGAAAGGTTGATGCGAGTAAGCTGAACGACGGATAATGTCGCGCTAGGAGAGAGAAGAGTGAACAGCAATAGAGTTTGAGCTAAGCCTTCAGTTACTATTGGATCCTACATTGGCACAATAATAGGTCAACAAACCATCTGAGCTGTGACGCAAGCAATCCAAGAGAATGAACATTGTAAGAATGGAGCGACTCCTACAGAGCTCCGGATATCCGCAGAGTTAAATGGAAGCTATGGCGACTAGCTGCTGCTAAGCAGAGATAGTGGCTCTAAAAAAGAATGAATCAGTGGCTGGTGCAGCCATAGCATTAAGACATTTGTCCACTATTGGATACCTACCGTTTCGATGAATAAGTCAACATGCGAGGGAGGTTTAAGAGAGACAGACGGCAGAAGAAAATGAAGGCTGGAGAGTCAAGGAGTGGCTCCTTGTAGGCTACATGGAGCCAACAATGACTGACTATTGTCAAGAAAAGTTGATGCGAGTAAGATGAACGACGGATAATGTCGCGCTAGGAGAGAGATGAATAGCCAGCATTGGAGTTCGGATTAAGCCTTTGGTTACTAGTGTATCCTACGGTGGCATATAATAGTTCAACAAACCAGCTGAGCTGTGAAGCAAACAATCCAAGTGAATGAACATTGTAAGAAGGGAGCGAGCTCCGGATATCCGCAAAGTTATATGGGGCTATGGCGACTAGCTGCTGTTAAGCAGAGATATTGGCTCTAGAAAAGAATGAATCAGTGGCTGGTGTAGCCATGTCATTAAGACGTTTGACCATTGTGTGGGAAGGTAAGAGGAGGCGATTATAAGTGGTCTGGTCCAGTTTCAAAAAGCTCTTCTTCAGGACAGTTGATATTCAGTAGTTTGGAGACTCGTGTGACAGTGAGGTATTTGCTAATAGAGAAGCGGAACTGGTTTATATTCGTGGATGCCCTTATTGTGAGAGGTAACCTATTCCATACGTGTGCGTATCTGTAGAGGTAGAAGTTGGAGCGAATGCTGCTGCGCGTTCTTGGTAGGATAATGGAGTAGGGTCTATGACGTAGGGGGTACGGAGTGATATATGACTCTGAGACATGGGTTAGTTGGCTCCCACCGATATTGCTAATGAGCGAGTATAGGAAAGCGAGGTTGGTTTTGAATCGGCGCAGCCATAACGGGTCGAGCTTAAGTGTGTTGCACCGTTCACGGTAGCTCAGATTTGCGTGCCCCAGGAGGCGTTTAGTGAAGGTACGCTGAACCTTTTCGAGGGTTATTCGGTCGCATTTTCTAAGGTTGGTGAAAACTATAGAGCAGTACTCTAGCAGGGGCCGAGCACATGTTTTGTAGAGCACAGCTCTAGATTCCTGTATTGTCATGGTTTTGAGGATATAACCGATGAGAGAGCGTGCTTTAGCTGCGGAATAAATTACTTGTTCCGCGAAGTTCAGCGAACAGGAGTAGTGCGCGCCTAAGTCACGCACTGTTAGGCAGTTCCCTAATGGCGTGCCTTGCAGCATTAAAGTATTTGGAGGCATGGTGCATCGGTACGTAAGGACATTGCATTTTGATGGTGTAAAAGCCAACTTCCATATGCCACACCATGCAGCTAGCGATCTTAAGTCGTATTGTAAATGGGAGATGGCCGTGTGGAAAATTGACGGATGAAATGGGAAGACAATTTTGATGTCGTCCGCAAATAAGTAGGGGGTCCCATGTTTGAAAACCTGGAATACGTCATTGATATATAGCAGGAAAAGTAGAGGGCCTAAAAGGCTACCTTGAATTAAGCCACTTTTGTCTGGTTTAGGAAGTGACATAAATTCCCCAACCATTACTGACTGTGAGCGAGCTGCAAGATATGATGAGAACCAAGTGTGCAGTTTGCCGAAGATGACTTATGATTCCAGCTTCATCAAGAGTTCTGTATGGAGTCTGTCAAAGGCTTTCGTCATGTCTAGGAAGATGACGGCTAGTGCTTGCTTGTTGGCAATCAGTTGAGTTACATGATTGAGGAACTCCAATTGGCAGGTCTGACAGGATTTAGACGGCAGAAATCCATGTTGTTGTCGATTGATGAGGTTGCTAGTAAGCAGGAAGGTGAGCATGGTTCTTTTTGACTATTCGTTCCATTATTCTTGAAGCTATAGGCGTATGGCTGATGGGGCGATAGTTTTCCATGTTCTGCTGACTGCCTCTTTGTGTTTGGGGATGACGATGGCATGTTTCCATGTGGTTGGACAGATCCCGTTAGTCATGGAAAGCGTGAATAGTTTGAAAAGTAGGGCTAGAATGTTCTTGCCACCGAGTATCAGCAATGAAGAGGGAAGACCATTGGGACCAGGATGTTATGGGCAGTTGATTGAGCTGATTACTCGGGTGATAGAACGCATGTCAAACTTAATAGTGTCGAGTGAGTCATTGGTGCGCCTAGATGGCAAAGCAGGCGCAGTTTCATTAGCGTCAGTGAAAGAATTGCGGAAGTATCCATTGAGGTTCTCACATATATTTGATGGATCGCTAATAATGGATGTGTCAGAAAGCCTGAGTGAGGCAACAGGCGTAGATGTTTGATTGCTTCTTTGTCGGTGTAGTTGCCCGAGTGACTTGGTTTTATTGCTAGATTTGAAGGCGGCATCTTCTTCAGCCATATTGGCTGATTCCTGCGCAGTTTGCCAGTGGGTTAGGATTTCATTCATGCGAACAAGGATGTGAAATTCCTTAGTTCTGGAGTATCGCTGTCGCATATTTTTGCTCTTCGTAATTACACCGTAGGCCTTTGCTGATTTCGCTGTCATCATTAAGCGGCTTCTGCAGGTGAGTGGGCCGAGCACATCTAGGCAGCTGAAGAGATTTAGATTTAGGACGTGTGCGGTTGCGTCTACCTCGGTAGCTAAAAAGAAGTTGTCCCAGTTCGCAGATCGCACTAATATCTCAAAGCTGTCCCAGTTAATGTGGTTGAACATTCGAAACTGTTTGACAGAAGAAGAAGTGGCGCAGTGTGGAGTAGAAAGTGTAAATATGAGTTTGCCCACCTT